TATTATAACAAATGAAAAAATAACTATTGAATTGATTTTCTAACTATCGCTATAGTATACAATAACCCTTTACGACTGACAATTGTAAATTCTCCAAATTTACTAAATGTCCTTAACTGGACAGTTGTAAACAAAATAGAGGATAAAAAAAGTACGATTACTTAATATATAAACATAAACTCACCATAGGAAGCCAAAATAAAAAAAATAGAATATTAATGAGCATTCAGACTCTTTCATTTTTCCTTCTGTCTTTCCTAGCAATTTGTAAAGTGTTGTGCAATTTCTTAGTAGCATACAATAATGTCATCATACAATTCAACCACATGTTAAATCAATTTTTACTGCAACATAAATATACAAAAATTATACTCATTTATCTGACACTGAACTTTCAACGGTAATTTTGACAACCTCTTCAAAAAAAAACAACTTCATGTGAAAGCCGGCGTAGCGTACCAACACAAAAATATAATCTAACAGCTACACCATAGATAATAAATATTAAGGAGTTACATATCGACAGTAATGACATCTTAATAAGTTTTGGGCTGCTGGCAAGCTTCTCTCTAGCGGATTTTTAAGTGAAACTCGACGACCAACAAATATGGCGGATGACACATTTATAAATTGAATTTGCTGTCAACTAATATTTGTTTTAGTGTAAAACGTTGCATTTTTAGGTTAGACATTTGTTGTAATTCATATTTCTTACATTTTTCCTTCATTTATTTCTTATTATTTTACATTAACAGAGCTTAGAATAATGAAATTCAAAATTTAAATTTTGTTTGCTATTACTAATATGCATTATATTTACAGTCAGGATGGATATTCAATCAGAAAAATATGAACAAGGTTCAAAAATTTAAAGAGGCTTAATTAAAGAGTAAAGAATGAATATATTTTATGCATAAAGTATTATTAATAATCCCATAATTCATTTGTGAGTTTGATTTTTATAAAAGTTAAATCATAATCAGGTTTTACTTTTGAGATTCATTCACGAATATTTGGAAGCATGTTAATTCGAGCAGGATGTGCTCACATTTTAAACTGCACTTCTGCGGAAATCCAGGGTTTTACTTCATTGTTTTGAGATTGAGGACTGACACTACATAATATTGACTGTGCCGCCTACACATCCTCAAATTATAAAAAAAAATGTATTCAATAAAGGCTGTGTGGTTTTTTAGCAACAATATTCGCTACAGCATGGCTACAGCTGTAGCGAATATTTTGGCTAAAGTTTTAAAGCTCACACATATACATTAAATAAATATTTTCAACTTTGCAATTCAGTTTATATAATTCTTATAAATATTAGACAATGTTACAATATTTATAATAATCTATCTGAAAACATTCAATATTCCTCGAACCATGCTTATTTATCTATGCCGGAACATTTGAACATTTATGAACATTTAGTTACGGTACGGGAAGTTCCAGCAATTTGCCTTAAGGCACGATGCCATGCGCCCCACTGGTTAACTTCCTGAAGGAGAAGTTCATGTTTTCATCAAAAAATCCGATTCGCTAATTTTATGTTTTCTCGACGTTTCAAACCATTCTGAATCGAATGAGACCAAATTTGAAAAAAGTAAGTGTGTGTGTGTTGCGTGCGTGTGTGAACAGATTTTTTGCCGTAAATCGACGTTTTCTCCAAAAACGGCTGGACCGATTTCAAAAATTTAAAAACCATTCGATGTATCACGATGAGGACTAGCAATTCTAAGTGTGCAACGATCTGCCGGGCCGTTCTTTGTAAATCTTTTCAATTGTAAGAAAAGTGAAAAAATTTTCGTCCACGTTTTAGCCCGCAATTCTGAATCTATTTTGAAAATTTAAAAAACCGTTCGATAGATATTGGTTGGAAATCGTGCTGATTAGTTTTTGGTGAAGATCAGCCGGGCCGTTTTCTTGTAATAAAGTTTAAAAAAAATCGATGATTTTTATGTTTTTTTTTGACAATAGATATCATAGTCTTCCAGATCATACTAAAATATTACGGTCCTACGACAAGTCGTTTAATTTTAAAAATTCTTCAAAGTTTGCAAAAATTAGTATTGATTTTTTTAGCATTTGTCAAAATTAGACCTTTGATCGACGTTTTCTCAAAAACGCCTGAACCGATTTCAGAAATTCAAAAGCCATTTGATGTATCTCAATGAGGACTATCGTTTGTCAGGTTTGTGAGAGAATCTGCTGAACCGTTTCTTTGTAATTTGAAAAATAAAAGTGTTAAACTTTTCGTCCACGTTTAAGCTCATACTACCGAATCGATTTAAAAAAAATCAAAATTGTTCGAAAGATAGTAGTTGGGAATGACACTGATTAATAATAATTAGGTAAAAATGTACCGAGCCGTTTTCTTCTAATTAACTGTTGAAAACAAATTTTAAGACGATTTTTATGGAACTTTTTTGGCGATTTATAACATGGTCTCATAGAACTTACTGAAATATTACGACCTTACAAGTAGTTTAATTTTAAAAATTTATCAAAGTTTGAGGAAATGAGTAATTTTTATGATATTTAAAAATGTTTGTTCCAAAATTTTTTTTTTCAAAAAAAAAATTTTTTTTGTATATCGAAATTATTCAGATTTTTTTTTTTAATTATGGTTCTAATATACTTTAGATAAATAATTTCAACTTTGCAATTCAGTTATAATTCTTATAAATATTATGTTACAATATTTATAATAATCTATTTGAAATCACTTAATATTCCTCGAACATTTCGTTACGGTACGGGAAGTTCCAGCAATTTGCTTTAAGGCACGATGTCATACACCCCACTAGTCAAAATTAAAATTAGGCGATTTACTTGGTATAACGATAACAATAGAATACTTTTCTTGATGAGCATAGTAAACCATTAAAGTCCTACGAAAATTGGTTTTACTAATTAATAATAATAATAATAATAAATAAATATATTTCAGTAGATATATATGTGTACATAGCATTTCTCATTTTGGATTTTTACCCGTAGGTATTTCATCCTTCATATTTACTAATTATAAAAATTATTGATTTTTGAAAATTTGCTTTCAGAAAATACTAGCAATTCTTTTCAATAATGTGTAATAAATCCATTTGAAATACTTTCAATCACTCATAAATTAATGTCTTTTTTATTGATTAAATCGATTATTTACACATATCGGGAAGTTCACGTAACTTGCCTAAAGGTAAAATACCAATACCAATTAGTTTATATTTTGTGTATATATTTATAATAAAATGTTATGTGTCGTGAGTTTGGATGCAGTCGAGATAGCATGCAAATTGATAAAAATATGAAGTGTGTCAAACATATGTGTATTAAATTTTGATATTTTCAGTAATAGTGTTTAGATTGTGTAAATATACAAAATTAACGAAAATTGTATAATAATAATAATCAATAAAGGACTATTACAGTTATCAGTAGTGGACTATAAGATACATATAGTTTATTTTATGTTATTGTGTTTATCCCTATATACTATAGCACTTCATTTTAGTTATAAATCTTCCTCGGTTATGTTTTTCTTATTGCTTTTAATATTCATTATCAAATTATTTTGTTATCTATGTTTTAATTGTTTCAATGTAGCACTTGAAATGTATGTTATTATAATAAAGACATTCTTCTTTAATAAATTCTTTTAGTTATTGGATGGTTGCCCAAAACATTTTATCGTATGTATGTATTTATATATACATCGTCGTATCTATAGTAATTGTATTTAAATTACGGCTTGCTTATGAATAATAATAATTTAGTTTACATAAATTTAGAATGTTCTAAAATAATCAGGTGTATCTCATACAAATTCTAACAATATTATTGCCATGAACAATACCAAACACAGTTAAAAAAATATTTATTCCAATAAACATTTTTATTAAAAATGAAATAATACACATTATAGTATTTACAATTTGACCTATGTTATAGAAAAGATTTGAAGAATGATACAAAATAAATACAAATGATGACATTGAAATTAAGGAAAAGAAAAGACAAGAAATGAAAGGCCAAGCCAAGGTAAAAACAAACAAGGATAAAAAAAATGAGTGAGAAGTGTTGAAACCTGGTTATGAACTTTCACCGTCATGTGTTGAACAATAGCTTCCACCATTATGTATTAATCAAAACTTTCACCAATGAAAAAATCAGTCTTATAAATTACTTATCTTTCACCACTCACAGATTACATTCATGAGGTACTTATTATAGAAAAACATGTTCATATGCTTGATCTTTTCCACCATATGATGCAAATAATTTGCTCTGTAGATCTGGTTCAAGGCTTTTAATATAAGAATTTACCTTAGTCCAAAAATCATCCTCACTCGTATTCTTAATAAGATGTTGAAAACGTTTGTCTGCTTTTGTGTATCTACTTCTTTGTATTAAGTACCATTTTCCAGCTTCTTGATATGTGCCATAAACAAAATAACTGGTTATTTGTCGAAGTCATGATAGATGACCATGCATTGTAATATGTAGGTGCACCATCAGACATAAAAGTTGAGGTAGCAATTTTTCCTACTTTGTCAAAAATTTTCTTAAAAAATAATTTAAATACAGTTTCATCTTGCTGATTGGTAAAATAAATGCTACCGGATAACCTTCCCAACTCATCAACTACAAGAAAAGTATGCAGGGTAAATCATAAGCATTTGTACCATGAGTTCCATCTATGTATATTTTATCATGTCCAAATTCCTTTAAAATAGTCGCCTGCACTTTAGTCATTATGACTATAAAAAGATCATCTTCTTGTACTACAGGTGTTCTGGTTTTTTGTAATATAAAATTTTGTGACAGGTATTTTTCTCATTTTCCTCAAACCATTTGTCAACACTGATTTATCATTATTATCTAGAAAGTAGGGTGTGGTAGCACTGCTTTGCATTCAATATTTCGTACAAATTTCTTGGTAATTAACGACAATGCTCTTAATATAACTTCCTTCATATGCTGCATCTTGAATAATGACGATAATTTTATCATCCGAAACTCCTGCTATAACTTGATCTATAAAAAAATTTGAATAATATGACAAAATGTATTTAGTTTTATAATTATGCACGATGATTAAAAATTAAATTTAAAATTACCCTTGATATGTTCTTCCAGCTTCTTGTCTAAAGAAGTTAACTTATTCTATTTATTGTGCCCTACATGTGTCTTCCAGAACTTCACATCAACTGCTCCATTATGATCAATATTACAAATCATCCTTGAGGGACAAGCTTTCCCAGTTTTGATGCTGGGATTCGTAAATAAGCGTTCAATTTGTTTCTGATCATGTGGCAATTATAATACATTGTCTTGTCACTTTTCGATGGTGTACCTACAAAAATAAACTTTGTAACATAATAAACGACGAAAATAACACATACCTACTAAATTTCATTGGAACTGATAGGAAAGTGGGTAAGAAAGCTGTATAATGGGTAAAATGACCAGAAGATGTAGAGGGTGGAGGCGATGGAGCTATATGGGGAGATACTTGAAGCAAATCTGATATAGGTGCAGTAGAAGGAATGAAATTTGTAAAAGGTGTTACATGTGAAAGTAAATTGGAAGGTGATGTCAAAGATGTGGAGACATGTGAGGTGGATAAAAGAGGATGATTAGCATCTGTTTTAGAAAGGGAGAAGGGATGTGTATAATCTTCAGAGGATGATGACCAGGATTGTGTAATTGAAGGAGCAGGGATATTACAATGCACTTGGTGTACAAGTTGATCTAAAGAATATTTGGTTTTAAAATTTTATAACAAAAATTAATGAATTAGAACAAATGGCTCTTGGCTCTTTGTTATGCTGTCGCCTGAGGTATCGATACAAAGAGCTACAAGCTGTAAACGTAATTTTGCATTCCCTACAAACAAAGTCCATGTTTGTTTATTGGAATAATTATAAATAAAATAGATATCGAGAATAAAGAGTAAAGTGACTAATTGTATAAATTCTGAAATTAATATGAACTAAGGGCTAGAGCATGAAAACAAAAGTAATGAAACGTAAGTAAAAAAAGTACCTAAACAATGTGGAACCCGAGGTAGACGTAAATGTAAAAAGTACCTAAATAATATGGAACCTAAGCTAGACCTAAGTGTAAAAAAACTATGTAAAACAATAAGAAGAAAATTTGTTATTAACAGAAAAGCGCAGTAAGAAATATAAATAAAAAAAGAAACAGAATGAATAATAATAAAAGCCTTACTTGATGAAGAAACGTGCACAAGCGAAGCGATTGTAGAGCACTAAAATGAAAACCGCAGAGAAAAGAATAATATAAAATTAAACAATAGTATGAAAATGCCAAGCGAATGAAAGAGTTATAAAGAAACGAAATAAAAAGGCATAACTGCAAACAAAACGAAAAGAAAAATGCATAATTATAATAAAGCACTTACTTGAACAGAAAATGGCGGACACGACACGATACAGGCAAAAGATGAGACCGAACATTATAACCGATCATGAGCTGAGCAGAAGAATTACACTAAATGATTTACAGAAAACAACACTGCTGAAATTTTGACAAGTTATGCTCAACACCGGAAACAACTCCAGGGTGTTAGGTGGTCGGTAATCTCCGAACCATAGATAAAAGAAGAGTATATGCTCCGAACAAATGTCTGTATCTGGGTTTTAGTTAGAGCTGCTCTCCCTAGTAGCGCTTATTTTCGTAAATATCAAATTTTCCAGAAATAATTCAAAATGGTGCCATTGAACGAAATTTCTTGTCAGTGATTAGCGTCAAAACTCGTCGATATACTAAACGCTTGTTAAACCTATAAAACGATTATTATATCAAATTGCAGAGTTTTACAATGCAGAAATACCAAGAAAAACGCAATAGTTATGTATTTCCTACTAGAATCGATGTAGTATGTGTAAAATGATTAATAATATTCAAGGGCCTTCAAAAATAAGTAAGTATTTTTATCAAATGCATACCTCAAAATACTTGCATTATTTAGTACTATTCTGATATAAGTTTTTGTTATAGCTTAATAACTGAGACATTTAACAATGCTAGAAATTTTAACGTTATAAATATTGAAATATAAAGTCAGTCAGACTAACCAACTCACTGAAAGGTAAGTTTTTAAGAATCATTCTTGCTAATAATAATAAAGGTTTATAATAAATAATTTAACACTGATTTTTTTCTGCAGGTTTTCTCTTGGGAGTGGTTACAAAATGGTTGAAGGTTTACTAAACACAAGTATTGATATGAAACGAATAAGCAGGGAAAAATTTTAAGAAAGAAATTACAAGCAAGTCTGAAACGTGCTGAAATATTTGCTGTTGTCCCACTGATATTGAACAATAGTGCTCATAATTCTATATTAAGTCGGCTAAGATATTAAATGGAAGGAAGTGCCTAATGATAAAATTCTAGCTAGTGCAAAGGGTAGTTTAGGTTTGGCTATGTCCCACTAAAATGTGTAATTGTAGATGTCATAAGTAAATATTTGTACATTTGTCATAAGTAATTAACTTGTACATTACACATTAAAATATAAAAACAATGTGTCAAAACATATGGAAACGATAAAAATGTTATAAGTTCATACAAGTTTTTAATTGATGTATTGCCCCGAAGACTGATTCCTCTCATATATATATATATATATATATATATATATCTATAATATATATATATATATATAAACAAAGTTTAGTAATCGGGCATAACATCAATAAAAAACATGAATTTCTTTCAAAAGTTTATTTTAAAACCATACGTTTCGGCTATAATCCTAGCCTTCATTCAGCGGAAAAATTAATTAATCTTATTGTTAAATTGGAACAATAAGATAATATATAATTTTTAACTTATTTTTTTTACTTATTAATAGTGAAATTTAGTGAGTAATGCATTATAGTGTTAGTTCATTACATCGTCTGTCATTCTTAACTCTTATTAACTAACAATCATCCCATGCAAATTTTGACATTCTTAAGCAATTCATTTTCTTACAAGTATATTCAGGTCTGTGTGAAGTGGTAATCCAATTTTAAACAGCTGGAAAATTTCTAAATATTTTGACTTTCTTGTAGAAGCTTATACTTGATTTTATACACAATTTCCTAAAATTGGTCTCTTTCGTTAAAGAGTAATACGATAAGACTAATCTGTCACTACATAGTAGTTATGTCCTGCATCTGAGTTAGAAGCTATTCTATTCATTTTGTCAAAAGGCTATGCATCCTAATGAAATCTTTATTAAAAATGTACAAACACAGACAAACAAAAATCTCAATTTGTCAACTGATACAAAAATAATACTGCCGTTTCTTAGTAACCGACATAAAATATTTGACTACTAACCCTTCTGAACGCAGATTTTGTTATAAGATAAAAGGCCCTGATGTTTGTTGCAATTTAAAAAAATATTGTTTATAACTGCTCAAGACAGTTGAAATAAAACGCAAAATAATTTTTCAATGAAAACTATTCAAAAACTCACTCATAGCATACAAGTTCTTCAAATAATAAAAATAATTGTTTCTCTCTCCTGAAATATATTTTTCAGGAAGTAACAGTATTATTACTGATTCTGGGGATCTGAAAATGTGATAATACACGAATAATTACGAAATGAACTAAATAACATGAAATAGTATCGAGAAATATTGTACTTACCATTCCTCATTCCTTTGTTGCTCCATTTTTTTGTGATTGTTAATATCTTGTAGAAGATCTTCGAAATATCTATTGACTTTGTTTAGATCGGAGAACTGTCCTTTTTCTAGTGCATCCATATTATATATCCCTAACGAAGAAGTTTGGCTCTTTCCTTTGCTGTCATAGTTGTTCTTTTCTTCACAACCATTTCATCAGAATTCACGTTTAAAGTATCAAATAAAAACAATAATAAAACGTGATAATAGTTACAAATATTTGCGATAAAAGCAACTAACTAAAAACGTCTAAAAAACATGTATAATGAGATAAAGTAAATAACTAACCTAAAAGTAACTAGCATAAAGCATTAAAGTTGACATGACAGAAAACCATAGATAAAAGAAATATAGAAAGATAAGAACATGATAACCTTCATAGTGTCTGTTTGAAAACACTAGCGCCATTAGCGGATTAACATGAAACAACAAATGATAAAAACAGATAAAAACAAGTTGAATAAAAAGAAAGAAAAATGATTATTTTGTATTTATCTATAAAAAAAAGAATGAACCAATCAATTATACATCAATCATGCATGTCATCACCATAGATAAAAAAAGCGTATGGTTATTACATTTCATTATTTAATAGTTACTACCAGTTATTACATTCCTGCATTTGTGCTTATTTATCCATTATTTATCTATAGAAATAAAATATTAAATCACTGATAGACTCTATTATATTCGAAAAAAACAGAAACCAATGCACTACTACATCATAAAAATACAAAACTAGTGTGGCGCACGGAGAGCAACATGTTCGTAAACCGTGCGTTATGCCTGCTCGAGTCCTTTGGGTTTGAGACGTCCCCTTGCATGCAATTCGGATATTCATAGGATATCGCGATATTAGGAGATTGTGAGGACAAGAGGGACATTCCCTGGCATGTCTTGTGCTGTCTGGGATCGTGCCTTGAGGCAAATTGCTGGAACTTCCCGTACCGCAATTAAACATTCAAAGAATAAAGATAATCAGTCAAAAAATGTTTATTAATAAATATTAGAAAAATTAGAATTTTTATTATTTGTTACTTGTAGACAAAATGTGAAAACTTATTAGATTAGACAGCGTTGTTCATTTATCGTCGTTTATGTTTACTTATCTATGGCGTTGTTTATATATGTTTAAATGAAATATATATAAACCAAATTTAATTAGGCGGACTTATTGTTAGAATGAACAATATTTCAAATGCATCAATTTTTCGTTCGCAAAATATATGCACTTAGTTAAGAATTTTAAATACTTCATGCAGTATCGACTATACAAACATAAAAAGTAACAATTTTTTTTTTTAAATACAGACGTGGGATTCGAACCCGATCAGTTTTGACTTTCTTATCTACTAACGCGAACGAAAATTGCGTTGAGGCGCCAATGTTTTTTGAATAATTCAAATCGGTTGATCGGTGTTCCCGAAATCGTCGAAGAAAATTTGTATCCGCACACACACATATATACATCCATTTTTTCTAAAGTATGCCAAAATATTCAGACTTTTAAAACGCAAAGATATATAAAAATAACTATAACTTACCCTACGGGAAGTTTTTTTTTTTTTTTGAAAATACCCTTCCAGAGTTAATCAATATAAATTTAACGAAATAAGTATCAAAACATTATAAATGTTGAATCAAACATTTATTTGAATTATATGGCTTTCTCAATACATATAATGAACTTTATGAAATTGCACTTTTACTTAACCTAATATCAGCACATATTTCAAAAGCTTATTATTTACAAGTTAGAATGATACCAACATATATTATATATATAAAAAAAACAAAAATACACAAATTCACACTTTTGTAATACAATAGATTTCATGTAATTATTAAAAAGATCTCCTTAATCTTATGGCACTGCGTACGTTAACAAATAAATATAAGTTCTTATATATAAAGTTTTATTTTTGACTTATTTTATTTTGATAAAAATATATAAATATTCTCATTTCCTCTTTTTCGACCTAATGTAAACATACAATGTATACAATGTATTACTCATATTACTATAAAGTAAACAGGAACATTTTTAAAAGGACGTGTAATCAAAGTAGACTTTAATAGAAAAAAAATGATAATTCGTTCATTTTGATTAATGAATCATCATCACTAATTTGAGCAATTAGTAAACTTTTTAAAAACATAATTATCCAAAATTTGAACACGCACATCGATGCTTGAATTCAAGACAAGTTAAAACACACATTACTTAATATTTCAATAGCGTTATTAAATCATTATAAGTAATATAATTAAGCAGTCTATGATAATTCTTATTGGTTGTACTAAAAATATGTCAAATTGAACCACATAGTATTTTATAAATATTCAATGGGTCACAATCAAAGTTCCGATAGTGATTTGATAAATCACAATAAATCAAAATCGTTCACAACAGTCTCATGAATGTACTTACAAATTACAATACAAACATAAATACAATATGATATAGAAATATTTCACTTAAACATATATTGCATGCAAAAACAATATGATTTGATCATCAATCGATTAATGAAAAAATATATTTTAACATTATGAGCTGTATTATTTCTCTCTTGTCTTAATTATGCAATAAAGTTTGCACTTCTTTTGACTATTTGAATAATTTCAATAATTAAATTATATTTAAATGTGAAGCAATCCATTTCCAAATAGTACCATTTCATAGACATATATTACCAATTTCGAATATTCGATAAAATTTGCAAATTAAATTGAATTATACAAATAAGTTGAAAGTTATATCAAATAAAAAACAAATAAACTTTCAAAATCCAGTGGAAAAATTCTCTATTGTATTTTATCGAGTAATTATGCCTCATACGCTATCTTCTGCTTGTTTCTTGTTAGTGAAACTGTGAAAATGTCTATATATTTGCAAGGAAAAATCTTATGATAACTGCACCATCTAAAATTATGTTATCATAACATTCTTCCTTGCTTATTGTTTATATGTAAAATACGCCTGATCGCACAGCAATCTAGTGGTTTTTTGGCATCGTGCCTTAAGGCAAATTGCTGGTACTTCCCATACCGTAGCAAAATGTTCGAGGAATATTAAATGT